GAGTGGATAGTGAGAGAGAGAGAGAGAGGGAGAGAGAAAGAGAGAGAGAGAGAGAGAGAGAGAGGTCTTCCTTTTACCGTTGGTTCATCCTCCAATGGCCGCTGCAGCAGGCACACCGCACTGATCCGAAGCCAGGAGCCAGGTGCTTCTCCTGGTCTCCCATGCGGGTGCAGGGCCCAAGCACTTGGGCCATCCTCCACTGCACTTCCGGACCACAGCAGAGAGCTGGACAGGAAGAGGGGCAAACGGGACAGAATCTGGCGCCCCAACCGGGACTAGAACCCGTGTGCCGGCGCCGCAGGTGGAGGATTAGCCTATTGAGCTGCAGCGCTGGCCAACGAATATACTTATCAATGTTTCAAACAAAATGTTGGGAAAATGTGAAATATATAAATACAAATACAAATATAAATACAGAAATAATTTTACGTGTATCAGTAATGAAATTTGGGCTAAATATTAGGCAAACTTATCACAATACTTCACAACAATCCTGGATTAATATATGGTATAGTTCTCTCATTAGATGTAATAAACTTATTCGATAAATTAATCAGTGAATTAATAATGATTATAACATAAGCAAACGGCACAAAGAAACATCCTTAGTTTGATAAAATTCAGCTAACTACTCTATGTCATGCCTGATACTTTTCATGCTGAAAGCTTTCCCTATGAGGTCAGAAATAAGGCAATGGTACTTTTTTTTTTTTTTTTTTTTTTTTTTTTTGACAGGCAGAGTGGACAGTGAGAGAGAGAGAGCTGGCCTGGAAGAGGGGCAACCAGGACAGAATCTGGCGCCTCAACCGGGTGTGCCGGTGCTGCAAGGAGGAGGATTAGCCTAGTGAGCCGTGGCACCGGCCGGCAATGGTACTTATATTACTGCTTTTATTCAGCTCCATGTTGGAAGCTCCAGAAGAGTCCATGGCAACATTAATGTATATAAGATAAAATAGAACTATAACTTATTGCTCACAAATGAATAATTGTATATATAGAAAATATAAGGCCGGCGCCGTGGCTCACTAGGCTAATCCTCCGCCTTGCGGCGCCGGCACACCGGGTTCTAGTCCCGGTCGGGGCGCCAGATTCTGTCCCGGTTGCCCCTCTTCCAGGCCAGCTCTCTGCTGTGGCCAGGGAAGGCAGTGGAAGATGGCCCAAGTGCTTGGGCCCTGCACCCCATGGGAGACCAGGAGAAGCACCTGGCTCCTGCCATCAGATCAGCGCAGTGCGCTGGCCACAGTGCGCTGGCCGTGGCGGCCGTTGGAGAGTGAACCAACGGCAAAAGGAAGACCTTTCTCTCTGTCTCTCTCTCACTGTCCCCTCTGCGTGTCCAAAAAAAAAAAAAAAAAAGAAAATATAAAAGAATCTAAAGATAAACTATTAGAATTAACAATCAGTATACAAAGAAACAGGAGTTTAGTATACCAGCAAAAATAATAACAGAATAAGAACATTTAATACTTTGAAGAAAACTAAGAAAATATGGGGGCTGGTGCTATGGCATAGTGGGTAAAGCTGTTGCCTGTGGTGCTGGCATTCCATATGGGTGCCGGTTTGAGACTTGGCTGCTCCACTTCTGATCCAGTTCTCTGCTATGATCTGGGAAAGCAGTAGAAGATGTCCAAGTCCTTGGGCCCCTGCACCCGCATAGGAGGCCTGGAAGAGGCTCCTGGCTCCTGGCTTCGGATTGGCGCACCTCTGGCCATACTGGCCAATTAGGGAGTGAACCAGCGGATAGAAGACCTCTCTCTTGGCCTCTCCTTCTCTCTCTCTGTAACTCTGAATTTCAAACAAATAAACAAATCTTTTAAAAAATATGGATAAGAACTTCAAATAGAAAATTCTAAAGCTACTCTTAGGCATTAAGTATGTTTTAAATGAATGGAGAGATAATATGTTCATGTGTTCTAATACTCACGGGGTTTTAGATTGATTCTAATTCCTCCATAGTCACAACTTTGTTAAAAATTGAAATTTGGTGAGCTGATACTAAGATTTATATGGAGTGATAACTGGTCAAATATGGTCAAACACTCTTAAACAGAGAGAGTAGGGCTACAGTAATCAAGATAGTATAAGAGGGGCCAGTGCTATGACATAGTAGGTTAAGCCTCTGCCTGCCTATAGCACTGGCATCCCACATGGGCACTGGTTCGAGTCCTGGCTGCTCCACTTCTGATCCAGCTTCCTGCCAACGGCCTGGGAAAGCAGTGGATGATGGCACAGGTACTTGGGCCTCTGCACACATGTGGGAGACCTGGAGGAAACTCCTGGCTTTAGATCAGCCCAGCTCTGGCTGTTGCAGCCATCTGGGGAGTGAATCAACAGATGGAAGGCCTCTGTTTCTCTCTGTCTCTCCCTCTTTGAACTCTCAAATAAATAAATCTTAAATAAAGATAGTATGAGAATATGGCATAAGACTATACACATAAACCCATGATCAAAACATAGAATCTGGAAATAGATATACACATAAATGAAGGCCCTCAAAATGTTCACAGAAAAATACATCTAGAAGCTTATCCTGGTGCAAAACAACCCTGAAATCTATGCATAGTTTTTTTTTTTCCATTCTATGTATTTACTGACAACGTTTTGAAGAACTCTTGTACTGACCACAAAGAGATAGACTGGGATAGCCATCTTTAAAAAATGGGTCTGGGTTGTTTGGATAGTTTTCAGTACATGCATATGGTTAAATACCTTTCCCTATTCATAAAAGATCATTAATTTCAAGTGGATTAAGAAACTCAATACGGAGAGCAAATTTGTATAGCTTTCAGAAGAGAATAGAGGATTATTTCTTTATCATTTTGATGTAAGGAAGTTATTATAGGAAACATGGAAACCACTAACCATGAAACAAAGACAACTTATACATTAGCCTGACACAGTAGTGGTGCTGAGTACAAAAGATACAGGATCTTGGGGGCAGGTGCTGCATGCAGTAGGTTAAGCTGCTGCTTGAGATTCTTGCATCCCACATCAGAAATCTGGTTTGAGTCCCAGCTCCTCTGCTTCCTGTCTGCCTTCCTGCTAATGCACGTGGGAAGGCAGCAGATGATGGCAAGAGTGCTTGGGTTCCTGCCACCCACGTGGGAGGCCTGCGTGGATTTCCCAGTTCCTGGCTTCGGCCTGACCCAGCCTTGGCTATTGCAGGCATCTGGGGCATGAATCAGTAGATAGAAGATCTTTCTCTCTATCTCCCTTTCAAATAAATAATATATATCTTTAAGAGATCAATAATCTATAGAAATGAAATTGACACTTTGAGATGCAACATTGAACAGCCTTTGTCTCAACTGTTGAGAAAGTTTTTTTCATACTATTTGTTGAACTCTTTACTTAGTATAAAATTAATTATATGTGTATAAAGTTAATTTAAAATAGATATTAGTAAAAAAATAAGAATGAGAATAGGAGAGGGAGGAGGAGGAAGATGGGTGGGAGGCAGGTTAGGTGGGGAGAATCACTATGTTCCTAAAGTTGTATTTATGAAATGCATGAAGTTTGTATTCCTTAAATAAAGGGTTTCTGGGAATAAAAAATAAATAGTGTTCATATGTGGAAGCTATAAAAAGTTGTGCTGAACTTAGAATACTGATAATAGAGATCAGAAGGGTCAGAGGTCAGAGGCACAAAGGGGTGTTGATAAGTTCTAGTGCTCCTTGGCACAGTGGGGTGACTAAAGTTCACGGAAAGCTGTGACATATTTTATGAACAAATAAATGATCAAAGCTTGAAGGCTCCAAGCATGAAAGCAATGACAAGGTAGGGGAAGGTAATTATCCTGATTTTGTTAGTAAGCATTGTACTTTACACACTTATTCAAATATTACACTATATCCCATAATACTTACAATTCCATGTCAAAAACATTTAAAAAATTCTTTAAGAAGATGGAGTGCTAACCTGAATCAATCTTTGCAAATTGAATGCATTTATCAAATTATTACACTGTACCCCATAAATATGTACAATTAATAAAACAAAAAAAAACCAAAATAGTGATGAGGAAAAGAAATTTTTCTCTAGGTCCCTAATAAAGATAGAGACTTATGCTTGGTTAGGTCTCATTCCTGTGTCCTGGAGGAGGTACCCCAGCTGTATTATATTTAGTGGGAAGAACTTTCACTTGAGGTTTCTGACAATCACAGATATGCCTTTTTACTCTTTCCTTGCTACATCAACACATAATCTTGGAGGTTTTTATAGATAAGCATGATAATATCCATGAGGTATCCTGCACTTAGAAGCTGTGACAATCTATGTAGTCTACATGTAATTTGTGGAGATAATTTTATAAAGCCGTGTGTTTGAGATGTAGCTTCTGTAATAGTTGTTTTCTGCCAAAATATGATCAGGAGAAATTATTTTCATCCTTAATCCCTCTCTCTGTCAGGATTTTGCATTCCTAGGTTTTATGCGACAAAAATTCTCTTGTGAACTTTTCTTTAGCAAACTGTAGATGTACACATTTGTAATAAAAGACTCCTGGGAAAGCAAAATAAAACAGAAAGCAGAGCTTTTCAAAGCTTAGAGGGCAATTTTGCAAATTTGTTTACCTGAATCAGAATCTCCAGGAGCTTGTTAGAGCAGATTAATGGGCTCATTGTGTCAGAATCATTGACTGCAAAGCTTGAGGCAGAGAATAAAGGGAATAAATTTTTTTTCCACAAAACCCCAGAGTGGTTAAGGTAACTCTACTTTTAACACTCCAACAGAAACATGTCAAGTATTTTGTAAGACACAATTTCAGTCATACCACACACTTGAGGAAGATACCATGGGTGAGAGTTGGATACAGTGTAGAACCACGTTTTCCACATTTTCTCTCTCTGATTATCTGAATGATGATTATAAAATGACTTCTGCTGGGAGGAGGAAAAGGCAACAAAGTGTTGAGGGCTTCCAGAGCTTTTCAGATTAACTCATCACCCACAGCTGAAGAGGCAAGAGGTTTATAAACACCAGCAGAGGCCCACTTCCCTTGATTTCCTGCTTCCTGTGACACTTTGGCTCAAGATCTGGAAGCCATGAAGATCTTTAATGTGCTGGGAGGGCTCCTCCTGCTTCTTGTGTCTGCTCATGGTGACGAAGAAGACTGTAAGACCTCGAGGGAATTCTGGAGGGTGGTGATGCAAGCCATTGGGGTGTTTGTGTATTTTTGACCGTGGTGCTTATTATCCGGTCATTATCTGCTGATATCTAATGGCTCTCGGTTTTCAGTCATGAGATATTTCTGTGCATCTTCATCATGTTTCCTCTCAACCCCATCCTAAGATGACCTCAAGATGCTGCTGTTTTCCTTTTTGCAAGTGTTTTGAGGTCTTTACTAGGGCACTTAGAACAGCTGAGGGCAAATGGAATTAACAGCTAAGTTTATTTTGATGCGAAAGCATGAAATCGGCATCTTATTTTATAATATGCATTTCTACGAGCTCTTCGAAGACACCTCCTATCCTTTTGTCTTGGACATGCTTGTCACCCTTTAAAGGCTGAAATAGTTGTGATGAATGGATGAATCAGGATAACTGGCCAGGTATCTAGGGAAAGAGATTTAGGTTCTAGTGACTTTGTCCATATGGTATGTAGGTTGGGCAGAGTGATCAACTGCTTTCAATTTTAAATGATTTCTTTAGAGACTTCATGTAGACTAGCAAGCTAATATTAACTGGTGAAAGCGATTTTTGAATCAGTGAATCAAAGCAGCTGATGCGTAATTTCCAAGTGGTTCCAGATCTGCATCTATTATGTTTAGAAAAATTTAAAAATATTCACAAGGCTATTTTATATGTGAAAATTGAATAACTTCTAAGGATTGTGGAAGCTTCATCTTATTTCCTTGTAACCAATGTGTATAATTTGAATCTCCCAAATTTCTAGCCATCTTGTGTTCCAAGGAAAGCTTAGCATTTCCTCTTCCTGATGGGTCGTGTCATCCCCAAGTCTGTAGTATTGTACAGGCACCTCCTGACACATCTTTTTCTCTTTTTAAAAACATTTATTTATATTTTTGACTACCACAGTGACCGAGACCTTACCATCCACTAGTTCACATCTCACTTGCTAGTAACAGGGACTAGGTTAGGCCAAAGCCAGGAACTCCATACAGATCCCCCGTGTAGGTGATAGAAACCCAAGTACTTGTGCCATAATATGCTGCCTCTTGGGCATTAACAGGAGACTGGATCAGAAATGGAGATGGCAGGACTTGAATCGGCACTGCAGTATGGGATGTGGGTATCACAAGTGGCAGCTTAACCCTTCATGCAACACCCAACCCCATGGCACTCTTTATCTCAATTCCTCTTCAATTTATTGCCTCATTTTTATTCCCTTTAAAGTTGCTTGTACTCTTTGATTTATCTTTCTTTTTTAATTTGAAAAAGTTATGTGGGTGGGGATGGGTGGAGAATCTCCATCCACTTGTTTACTACCCATTCTGCCCCAGTGACCCAGGTGGGGGCCAAGCCAAAGCCGGGAGACAGGAGCTTCCTCCAAGTTGTTCCACATGGGTGCAGGGGCCCAAGCACTTGGGCCATCTTCCACTGCTTTCTCAGGTGAATTAGCAGGGAGCTGTATTGGAAGTGGAGCAGCTGGGAATCAAATTGGGACCTCTATGGGATGCTGCCATCAGAGGCCTTGGCTTAATTTGCTAAGCCTCTACATTGACTCCCTCTTTTTTTCTTGCAGCCCTGCTTTAATGAGCTTTACATCAAAAGGACTCCACCAAAAGTTAATTTGTCTGGAATGTTGGTAATTTCTATATAGGAAAATTCAACAGTCACTTCATTAACGGCAGAGAACCAAGATAGTGGCAAAAAGAGGAAAGATTGATGTATAGATAAACATGATATTCCAACCTACATAGATTTTTGTGAATATAATGTGATAAAGGGTTATAATATAAGATAAAAATCCCCTGAAGAAATGGTTGTAAAAATTTTCGCATGTCTCCCTTGGAGGGTTTGTTACAACATAGATTTCTGGACCCTAACCCCACTGTACTAAGCAATAACACAATATGGTTACTGCTTAGGAATTTGAATTCCTAAAAAATTACTAGGTGATGCTGACCATATTGGTTCGGGGTCAAACTGAGAACTACTGATTCAGATCATGTGTTCTGTTTCAAATTCAAAGTAGCACAAAGTTGTAGTGAAACCTAGGTGTTTAGAAGCATGACAATAGAAGTAAGAAAGGATATTTCAAATCTTGCGTGGGGATAAGACAGAATAAAATGTAAAGGAATCATAAATATTTTATAGGAATGGGGGCAAGAAAAGTTTCCTTGATATATTCTATGTGAATAAAGGAAGAAGTCAGGTGAATTCATTTGAGTAGAGGTTTTAATGGGTTCTATTTGATTTTTAAGTGATATTTTAAAAATTGCATTTGATCTGAAGTATTGTTACTTTATATCAAACATTATTGGGTAATGACAAATTTAGCCTAAACTTGACAATATTTGATTATATTAAGATATTCTTTGTGACCAAGCCCATACTTAATCTTTACAACAGTTCCAGGGTCATAAAAGTATTCTTTTTGGACCATTAATATACTTCATGGTTGCTTCCTTCTCTCACTAGAAGCATGGTTGCTTCCAAATCTTAATAGGGAATTATAGCTAAGCCTGGTATCTATTTTATTGTTAAATTGTCACATAGCCCTAGTAATACTAAACCATCTCACAGAATTAAAGTAGAATGCAAATATAGGTAACTTCTCTTACCAGATATCAGAAGATAGTCTGAATACGCTTCCAAAAGTTCATAGAAAAATTGAATTAAAAGGTAACCTTATTTGAATGCAAACATTTTTGAAGTCTGTCATTTTTTCATAATATGAATTTTTCATTAACTTTCTGAGGATGCTTTGTATAAGCCAGTAATCAAATCAATATATGGCCATGGCAAATTGCAAAAGTGAACACGTACATGATGAATAGGATGGGAGAGGGAGTAGGAGATGGGATGGTTGCGGGTGGGAGGGAGGATATGGGGGGGAAAAGCCGCAACAATTCAAAAGTTGTACTTTTTTTATTTAGTACTTTGTAAACATATATATTTATTAAAGACAAGTAGGTACCATATATACATCTACTGAGAATACTTCAAAAAGTTCATGGAATAGTGCATTAAAAGATAAATATTTCAATACAAAAGTTTTTTTTAAATTCATGCGCAGTCTTTCATAGTCTTTTTCCATGAATTTTTGAAGACCTCTGGTCTGTACTCAGAAAAGGGGTATAATTTATTTGACAGTGAGGGAGAGAGAGAGTAAGGTCTTCTTTCACTGGTTCACCCCCCAAATGGCCACTATGGCCAGAGCTACACCGATCTGAAGCCAGGAGCCAGGTACTTCTTCCTGGTCTCTGACACGGGTGCAGGCGCCCAAGCACTTGGGCCATCCTCCACTGCCTTCCCGGGCCACAGCAGAGAGCTGGACTGGAAGAGTGGCAGTCGGGACTAGAACGCGGCACCCACATGGGATGCCAGCTCTGCAGGCAGAGGATTAACCAAGTGAGCCATGGCGCTGGCCCCAGGGGTATAATTTTTCAAAAAATGGGCACTCACTGGCTTATTCTTGATTTGTATGTACATATGGGAGAATAATATATAAAAAATCTTGTCAGATAAGAGGCTATTTTTCTTATTGGTAATATCAATATTTCTTAGATACTACATACATTACAGACTCTTGACTTCATACTTCATGATTCCCAGGATGTAGCCCTTACTATCTCACCCAATTTGGATGAGGAGACTTAACCATGAAAAGGTTGAATGACTCATCTAAGATCTCACAGTAGAAAACATAGAAATAGTCTGTTTTCACTCTAGAGTGTGTTCAGGTCAACTATGGGGTTGAACATTTTCTAAGCTGTTGGTTGAAGACAGACATGCTATTTCACGTTTTTATTTTTTTTTTCCTGGTCAGTGTTTGTAGCCTGTAGTGAATTCTGGCTCCAGGTCAAAATTAGGAGGGCACCTTTTGTGGATGAACTGCAACCACAACCTTATGAGCTGTATCTTGGAACTGGCTGTCCCGTAAGCAGAATATTGCCTAGTTACTTCGAGTTCATCTATACGCTTACTTCTTGTGGCATCAGGAAATATGTAAGAACAATTATTTAAATAAGTAACTTGTTCTATTTTAAAGTAAAAATCTACTTACTAACATTGCACTATACTTGTCAGTTGACTTTACACCTCATGTAATACTGAGTATGCTCTGCCTTAAGTTTTTGGATAGTTTCCCAGTAGAAGAAATCTCTCATTTGCAAATAATGGCTTATTTGCTATCAGCAGTTCCTGGTCAAATTCACCAACCACTTGTATCTCAAATTTTGTTGGAAGATAAGCACATTCATTTAGGTATGATGTGACAGTTCTTATGATGTAGTGGCAGAATTAAGTATTTTCAAGACAGGTCTACAAAGACTTAAAATATTTTGTAGCCAGATTTAGAAGTTTAATGAACCTTGATTTATATTATTTCCATATTAAAATTGGAAGGTGGAACCTGCTCTGAAATAATAGAGTACTTAATACCCAGAGTAAGCTGCAGAGTTTATCAAACAGGTCTGGCAAAATCAGACCTTAAATCTTACACAAATGTAATGGCTAAAAGTTGTCTGTGCAGACCCAGCTGCCAATCAGATACAATGTCCCGAGCACTACGTCAGGGGCTATTGTGGTACTTGGATCTTTTCTAAACATGGACATCTTGTCAGCTCTGCTGTCCTCATCCTCCTCTCCCTTCCTCCCTCTCTTTTAAAAAAGACTTGTTTATTTGATAGGCAGAATTACACACAGGGAGAGGGAGGAGTGGATGTGGGTAATAGAACAGCCTTGAGCTTTGGGGGAACTTTAACTTTTTATAACTGAAAAGAGAAACACTACACTTTGAGTTGGGCCAGAGATGGGAGACTGGAACTCCATCCAGGTCTTCCATGTGGGTGGCAGGGGCCCAAGCACTTGGGTCATCCTCTTCTGCCTTCCCAGGCACTTCAGCAGGAAGCTGGAGTGAAAACCGAACAGCTGGGTCTCAAACCAGCACTTACATGGGATGCCTGCATCACAGGCTGCAGCTTAACTTGCCAAGGAACAACACTGATCCCTCAACAGAAAATGATAAATTCATACTCTAAATTTTACTTTTAAAATGTTTTGTAACTATCAGAATTAACTGGGTACTTTTTTGCCCTTCAGGAACGTCTATGGGGTATTCTTATTGAGAGTTCAGTTTCATATGAACCAGTATTTCTAAATGTCAGAGGTCACGTCCCAATATCATGTTCTATCCAAAGGTAAGTAACTATCCAGAGATTAAAGTTATTTATTTCCTTGGCTACCAAATGTTTGAGAGTTGCTGTTTGAAAGGATGGTGAGACTGACTTAACAATGTTTCACTCAGTCATATGAGTAGATACAGCACTCATCAAATAATATATGCACACTCATAAAAATTAGTCATCTCAATTTTTAAAGATATATTTATTTAAAAGAGCAATGTAGAGGGACAAACAGATGTTCCATCCACTGGTTTGCTCCCCAAGTGGCCATAATAGCTGAGGTTGGGCCAGAAACCTAGAACTTTCCTTGAGAGAGGTCCATGTGGATAACAGGGGCTAAAACACTAGGGCCATCTCCTGCTTTCTCAAGTGCACTATCCGGAAGCTGGATCTAAAGCAGAGCAGCCAGGACTCAATCCAGCACCCCGATGTGGGGTGCTGTGCTTCAAAACCAATCCTTGAGTTTTTCTTAAATGAGCTTGTTTAGGTGAAAAAGTTTTACTATAAATTTCACTGTATTACTATTAATGCAGCTTATAAAATATTTATTGGAAAACAAATGGTTCAGGGTTTTTGTCTCCTCCAGCCTATGCACATAACATTTTGTACTATCCCTCAGGGAAAATTTAGTTGGTATATGTTAGGTTTGAAGGATTGAGTCAAAGATCAGAAGGATATATTTATATATTTATATATTTTTCTAGTAAATACTTACAATATAAATATTGTATAAATTTATAATAAATATAAATATATTAATATATAAACATATAAACATACATATATAAACATAATGTATTATATTTAATAATTTATATATCTATTATATATTAATACAGATATTCTAGTAATATTTATATATATTTCTAGTAAACTTTCTTTTGGGCATTCCTTATCTGCACTCTCCATCACCAACCTGTCTCATCTCCAAGGTGCTTATAGGAACAATTAAATTATTTTGTGACCTTACCATCTCTGTAGTTGAGAGGAGGATGACCCAAGAGATTCAAAATCAAGGTTTCTTCTAAGACTTTCAAACTAAGTGTGAAACAATCTCTATTGATTTATCTTAAGTTATAAAAATAAGGACTTGATAGTAACCAACATCCTCTCCTGTTTGAGACACTTTTCAACAATGAGAAAAAAAAAAGAGCCAATAGATGCAGAGTTTAGGTAATCTGGCTTGTCCCTAATGGGTTTGTTCACATGGTCTGATTCCATGGTGGTTGGAACTTTAAATACAGTCTATTTGAACAATCTTGTTCAATGAAGAAGCTGCACCTGTTTAACAGCAGGTGAGCTCAGCTTTGTTACATAAAACCGTCCCTTCCCTTCCCCTCACAGTATCTTTGGCATTTTCCAATAATAAATTATTTTAATATAAACTTTGAAATTTATCTCTAATGCTTTTCTTACTATCAGTTCCGAGTACAACAGTGGAGACAATGAGGCCTCAAAATGAGCTAGAAGCCTTCTCCTGTTTCCTTATACCATGGCATGTCAGAGGAGAGGCAAAGGGTGAAATGGGGGAAGGAAGGACTATCTCAAAACTGGTACAGTTGCAGTCTGTTTCTAGTGACACTGGTTAAAAGTGTATACGGCAAACTCTAAATGTAGCTCAAATTGTGAACACTAGGGGGATGCTGCAAGGCACAGATGCCCACTGGATATGTTTTGAAGAGGCAGTTTGATAGTTCTCCTGGCTTCACTCAAATGCCGCATTGGAGGGCATCTCTTAGTCCCCTAAATAGGTTGTTGGTCTTTGTGCCTCTTGTTTTATGGGAGATCCTTATCCATGCGATAAGTAACTTACAGGTGGCATATATTGTTCTGAGCTATTTCTTAAGTTATATATATTGTTTTGAGCTATTTCCTACAGACATGTAGGAAGATATCTACCAAATGCCAGGCTGTATTCCTTTTTGTACTACTTAAAAAAATTTGAAAGGCAGGGGAAAGGGGGACAGCAGGAAGAGACATCTGCTGGTTCACTCTCCAAATGGCTGCAATGGCTGGGTCTGGTCCAGGCCAAAGTCAGGAGCCAGGAACTCCATCCTGGTCTCCCATATGATTGGCAAGGACCCAGATATTTGTGTTAGCCTCTGCTGCTTTTCCCAAGTGCATTAGCAGGAAGCTGGATTGGAAGCAGAGCAACTGGGACTTGAATCTATGTTTCGATACAGAACGCTGGTATTGTAAGCAGCAGTTTAGCTCATGGCACCACATTGCTGGTGCCCTCCTTTCTCTTCCCTATCTGTGTATCAAAGGGGTGTGTGCAGAAGATCTACCAGTCTATTGCATAAGCAGACAACCACTTGGCAGTGAGATGTCAGTCTCCAGTGTAGCTACTCTTCTGTGTTTAAGGCTCCTTTAAAACACTTCCCTTCATAAAAAAGGAAGCGCTTTCATATCGCTCTAACCCACTAGGAACACAAAACTCTAATCATCTTCTGCGAACTATGGAGTGAGGTATTTGTAGATTACAAATTTGTAAGTTTCTGCCAGTTGATACTACTTTGGCTTTATTTCTGGATCACAATCACTAATTCTGGTATTGGAAAGTAATGGAGGTAATGTTCTGTTAGAAACTTGGGACCAGCGCAGTAGATTAACCCTCTGCCTGCGGCGCTGGCATCCCATATGGGCACCAGTTCATATCCCAGCTGTTCCCCTTCCCATCTGGCTCTCTATGACCTGGAAAAGCAGTAGAGGATGGCCGGAGTGCTTGGGCCCCTGCACCCACATGAGAGACCAGGAAGAAGCTCCTGGCTCCTGGCTCCAGATCAGCTCAGCTCTGGCTGTTGCGGCCAATTGGGGAATGAGCCAGCAGATGGAGGACCTTTCTCTCCCTTTCACTGTCTGACTCTACTTCTCAAAATCTTAGACACTTTGCAAATTTGCAGATATAAAAATAGAAGTTTGCCTTGTATATCAAACCATTTGATTGCCATTTTATTTTTTACAACCCAAAGAGTTATCTCACTTAGTTTCTGTCCTCATATTTCTAGTCATTAAAAATAACAGTAATCAGACACTAACCTCAGACTCCTATCTTTTCCTTTTCCAGAAAGCTTTCTTTTACCTTTACATCAAAAGAAGTAGAAAGTAATGGTAGTGCATCTGGAGAAACATCTCGAGGGCCAGTGGAAAAGAAAAATTCAACATGTCAAGTAGAAAATTTTGGGACTCATCCAGGGCCATCATTTGTGTAAGTATTTTGACTTTGTATTGTGAATGATTACTAATACATTTATAAAAAGGCAAGGGTTCAAGGTGACACCATATGTGGTGTACCATGTACCCATATGATTTCAGTTTAGGACCATTGTGACCATTCATTAATGGTGATTAGGGGCATATTTTGTCATGGCATTTCCTAGTCTGATTAATATGTGGATTTTAGAAGAAGCCTCAGTAACTACTTAGGTTATCATTCCTAACATAATCACAAAATGCATTTTTGACTAACATGAGTAGGGAATAAGACTAGAAATTCCAAAGAACATCCATGAGGATAGTGACTGAGCTGTGTGGGAATTCTGAATACCTGTGCTTTGTTCTGTAAGGACATATGACTAAGCAGAAACCCTCTTGGATGTGAGGGACCTTAAGGATTGATCAGATGCTCTATGGCCCTTGGACTTAGCATCACAACATGGCCAGACCTTATTTTCATTTTTAGGAATCTAATAACCATTTAAAATAAACTCTAGATGTTATTACATAAAATCTACAAACTCCTATTAACAAGAGCTATACGTAAGTAATGGATAAATTATACCTGAGTTATTACAATATTGTAATAGATTCTGACACTTAAAATTATGCCTTTTTCATTTTTAAGTTTCTTCTTCATTGAGCCACGGTGAAATATCTAAGGGATTTTAAAATGTAATTAGTTCCCAATAGTACTCTTATCTGACAGTTTCATTTCTTCCTTACAGGAACAGTGTTTCCCTTGGAGGGGTTGTAACTTTTCCTTGGTCTTAAGTGGAGGAACTAAGCTATAAATTCTGGTGGTTAAGGCACTCTTATTAATACTGGAACTCTGACTATCTATGGATTGTACAACTTAGAAGTTGGACTAATGTCTGAGGATACCATCTTTTTAATGTTCTTTTAAAATGAATTTGTGCTGCTGTATACCATTATGAATTTGGGTGGAAGGCAAAGGAGCTTTCTGAAACTTTTAAACTTGCAATAAAGGCAATTTTTTAAAGTTTTGAATATCTGGGTGACTATGACTCCTCTTTGAAGAAATCTTGACTTACAGAAGGCTGATACAGGAAACTTTTATGAAGGGGAATACTCATTGTCCAATGTGGAGGCCAACTGAATGACTTACACTGCAGTGTAGATCTGATTAATCCCTATTTGACTTCCTTCTAATATGTGTAAAGTGAAATCTAAGTTCCCTCTGTAAGACAGACTAGACCATTTCTAATTTCTAGCCTTCTACCCCCTGCTCCTTGTTATCCCTTTTTTTTCTGTATGGTGATAAATTCTCAAACTGACTTGAAGTTAGGTACATCCATCTGGCTCATACAAATAGAAGAATATATACTTTTTGGTAATGGAGGTGGGCATAGATTCTACTTGATGTCAGAATTTCTGATAGCTTTAACCTTGAAGCAAATAGACATTTGAAAGCTTTTATAAAAATTGTAGGCCTTTAGGAGTTTCTTTGAGTCCATATTATGGGCCAGTTGACAAAATTAATAACTATATGGTTACTGTACTATGGTCTGTACTCTTTATAAAACTGTTTAGAGGGATTAAGTCCCAGAATAAAATGCGGCTTGTTTGAAAATCTGCCCTTCTTGAGCTTCTGTACTGCATGAGACCTGGGAGCAAGGCAGATTGCAAAAAAGGCCAATAGAAAGCCAGATCAATGTGCCAAGTGATACCCATCCTGCAAATGGAACAAGGATTGAATTCTCTATACAACTTTTTCTGTTTTCTACTTCACCCCCTTCCACTTCTAACAACATACTTATTAGAGGGCTTATTGACAATATGGAATATCTATAACCCTGGCTATAAGAACATTTTTACTTCAACTCATGAATTACTTTTTGTTTTCCTTCTCCAAACCATTAGGGCTCCTCAGTTCTTTGTGAATTGAGACTGAAGGTTAGACTGAAGACAACTTGTTTTAGCTGCAATTCCTTCAATAAATGAATGCTCAATGTTTGGAAAAACTTAACTGGGGAATATGTATTTTTAAATCTAAGTATTAAATACAACTTGCTCAAAGTCTTATAGAAACACACTGAAGATACAGGCACACAGACGGAAGCACCACACTACCAGAATTCCATCCTTATTTCCAATATCTGCCTATGGCACCACCCTTCTCTATTGAATGTGTGATCATGAAGTGGCAGGGACCAGTGTTGAGGACTGAGAGGTTGTAAATGGAAGGCGCTCAGGGTCAATGACATGATTTGCTTTATTGGAGAGACACAGTGGTGAGTATTAGAGGTCATAGCTATGATGTAACATCAAGGGATGTATCCCTGTGTGTTTGGGAGTGGGTGGGTGGAATAGGACACATATGTGTCAAAAGGAGACCACACTAGATGTTACTAAATGGTGACTAGTTTGGGGTTATGGAATTATTTGGTCAGTTTAAGCATGTGGAAAGAACATATTTTTCTACTTTTCTCCTAAATAACACTCTTGCTTATTTCATATTTTCTATTTATCCCCATTATGCCTTCTTGTTAGTAACTCGCATACATTGGCCGGCGCTGCAGCTCACTAGGTTAATCCTCCACCTTGCGGCGCCGGCACACTGGGTTCTAGTCCCGGTCGGGGCACCGGATTCTGTCCCGGTTGCCCCTCTTCAGGCCAGCTCTCTGCTGTGGCCAGGGAGTGCAGTGGAGGATGGCCCAAGTGCTTGGGCCCTCCACCCCATGGGAGACCAGGAGAAGCACCTAGCTCCTGCCATTGGATCAGCGCGGTGCGCCAGCTGTGGCGGCCATTGGAGGGTGAACCAACGGCAAAGGAAGACCTGTCTCTGTCTCTCTCTCACTGTCCACTCTGCCTGTCAAAAAAATAAAACATAAAAAGAAATAAAAGTAACTCACATACATTGACCATACCTTGTTCATTATGCCAATGTTTCACAAGCTTCTGTCACTTATGATATTTGATTCTCATTTTCTCAAATTTAGAGACAAATATCCTTAAACTATATTGTAAACCACATTCTAATGTTTATGAGCATGATCTATAAACTAGAAGCCTATAAAATAATAGCATTAAATTCTTATCAAATTTATTTAATCCTTTTTTTCAACTATATTTAAGCTACCTAGAATTAGTGGAAAATTTTTAAAAATTAAAGCAGAATTAACTTTAGATAACCCTATGAAAATGTGAAGATACCCAAAACAAAATAAGGCTTACATAAATAACAGATCCCTTCCTAAAAACTATTAAATTATGTGTGTTAGG